TTATGGTGAAAACAAGAAGTGTCGATTTCGACAAGATGGAAGAGCTTAAAATATTCGAGAATTTGCAAGCTGGCCTGGCAGAGAATGAAAATCGCAGAAGAGAAGAAGATGAATGCAGAAGAGAGAAGATGAACGCAGAATAGAGGAAGATGAACGAAGGAGGAAGGAAGAACGATTACGCTGAAATGAAGAAGATGAACAAAGGAGAGAGGAAGAACGATTTCGACAAATGAAGACCGTGAATTACTACTAAATATTCAAGAAAAACAGGAAAAAGACTCGCTGGTGAATATCCAGAGAAATCAAGAAAAAAAACAATAATATGTACCTTCATTTATTGGAAGATTTAAAATCTTTAAGTGAGTAAAGGGAAGGTACAGGGATATTTGGAAAGCATTTCAGTAGTTGATGATAATCTTGAGGGGGTTGAAAGGAAATTTGAAGTAAAGCTTGAAGGAGTCGACAAAAAAAATTGAAGAGATTTTCTGGGAACTTCGGAAAGAATCACCGAAGCCGAAGAGTATTACGAGGAAAGGCTTCCAAAATTCTGCAAAATATTACAGTCAATAAGCAGAAGGATTTTGAAGCAGTTACATCAGCTTTGAGGTCAGGCAAACACCTTCAACAAGTCTTCAACTGAAGGTGGGAACTCAGGGTCCAACCGAGAGTTTGCAGGAGTTCGGGGCTGAATTCGAAAGATTAGTAAGACTCGCCTATCCAGAAGCACCTGATAACTTCACCCACTGGATTAGTGGTATTTGGTGAATGGGACTGCCCCCAAAAGCAAGAGAGCGGCCTGAATGCTATAACTGCGGCAAAGAGAGACATTTAAGGCTGGACTGTCTATTACGTTCAGCATCCGACTGGCGTTCGGGATCATTCGACGACCCGAACTAAAACGTCGGGGATTCGGAAAACTAAATTCAGCCAGCGTAAAGAGAGATACATTGGCTGCTTCATCCCAATCCCCCAGGTATTCGATTTCTACTATAGGACACAACAGTAACAAGTAACCTGCGAACCGATCGTGAAAATCGCCATAATCGAGGAAGAAGTCCCTTTACAACGTGCTCAACAACCCACAAAGGAACTCATCAACTCTCTCAGGAAGACGTAGAGTAATTTGTAGAGGAGGAGAACGATATGTTCGTGAAGGGCAAATTCATTGGTCAAACGGATTTAGTTCAATATTGGATCAATAGATAGATAAATATCCTTTATTAGTTCTTTGTAATTAATAACCTTTCCAGCTGTAGAACATGTCAATTACAGTAAACATTACAGAAATAGTAAAAAAATCATGAAGTAATATCATTAATATTGGTTAAGAATATAAATGGCCACAGATGTATAAATAACAAGGTTATCACAGTCAATATACTCAATGTAATACTGTTATATTAGATACAGAACACGAACATATACATCTATGAGACTAAAGAGACTAAACTACATCACAATGCAGAATGATACCACATGAAATATTCAACGCGAACAACATCAGTCTAAATTATCATTGAAGAATTCTTCCAGCGAATAAGCTTTGGAGAGAAGTAAAGTTTTCAATTTATTCTTCATGATCACAGAAAACAGAGTTCTGAGAGATTCAGGTACCTTGTTATAAATATTCATGATTGAAAAAGGTATATTTTTTTGAAGATAGGTCGAATGTGTCTTTATATTCAAAAGGTTATTTTTGTTTCGTGTGTTGTGGGTGTGGTTCCTATTATGAGTCGCAAAAAGAGATATATTCTCTTTGACAAATACCACAGATTCATAAATATAGAGACCTGTTAGTCGTTTTTGCAATACGAATATTTTTTGTGTATGTGCAGACATTCCCCAGAATATAATGCCATATCTGATGTGACTCTGAATATAACCATTATATGCTAATATAGCAGCCTCAGTGGATATATTTTGTGTTATTATTTTCAGGGCATAGCAGTACCTTGACATATCTGTTGCCACTTTATCTATGTGGGCTCTTCCAGTTCAGCTTTGAGTCAATTATAATTCCAAGAAAGGAAAGTTGGGTTACTGGTTCTAAAATAGTTACACCATCACTAAAAGTATTATTTGTGCCGTTTTGGGTAAAAGATATGATTTGTGTCTTATTTTTGTTCAGTTTGAGATTGTGTCATGTAAAGTACTCCTCCAGAATCTTTAGCTTGAAAAAGATATTTGCCTGTAGGTAGTCGTGATCGGTTGAACTGAAAACCACAGAACAGTCATCGGCATACTGAACCATGTATTCATCAACAACTTCAGGCACATTGTTAGTGTAAAGAATGTATAATAGTGGGCCCAACACTGACCCCTGGGGTACACCTCTTATAATATATAGCATTTCTGATTTCATTAGATTTCCATCAGTATCCTTTTCAGTAACACATTGCTGTCTATTTTTCAAATAGGACGTAATTAATTCGAGAGGCAGCCCTCTGATACCGTAGAACGACAGTTTTGTTATCAGTAACCTATGGTCAACACTGTCAAAAGCCTTGGACAAGTCCAGATTGACAGCTGTTACATAGAGCTTGATAGTTAGCTCGAGTAGTAGATTTCTTTCTTCTAAATCCATTCTGCATATCACTTAGAAGATTATTATTCTCTAGATAAGTGATCAGTCTATTGTATATTATTTTTTCAAAGATTTTACTATTATTTGATTGCAATGGGCCTATACTGGCTATGCTAAGCCCATACGCCAACCACCGAGACGACCCCCTTCGCAAAGCAGGACGAAGCTTCATCCATCGTTAAGGTCATGTTTGAGGAAGGAGTAATCGATGAATCAAAGAGCCCCTGGTTGTCACCTATTGTGTTGGTGACTAAGAAAGATGGATCGACGAGATTCTGCGTAGACTACAGGAGGCTTAATGATGTCACCAGAAAGGACAGTTACCCTCTTCTCAGAATAGATGACACCCTGAACGTCTTGGCTGAATGCAGATGGTTTTCAACACTAGATCTGAAAGGCGGATATGGCAGATGGCTGTTCACCCCGAGGATAAAGAGAAGACTGCCTCTTCCACGGCAAGTTTTTGCCGTTCGGAATATGCAATTCATCCGCAACATTTGAACGCTTGATGGAGTTGGTGGATTCACCTGGAAAACGTGCTTGGTCTATCTTGATGAGATTATAGTCACCGAAAAAATGTTGACGGACATCTGTCAAACTTAAGGAATATTTTCACGAGGCTGAGGGATGCTCTTTTGCAGATCAATCCCAAGAAGTGCTGCCCCTTCTAGAAAAAGGTTAATTTCTTGGGACACGCTGTGTCGCGAAAGGGAGTTGAAACAGATCCAGAGAAAATAAAGGCAGTGCAAGAATGGCCAACACCGTAGAGCAAGCAACACGTAAGAAGCTTCCTTGGACTCCATAGCTATTCCCGGCGTTTCGTGAAGGACTTTGGAAAAATTGCCAGGCCGCTGCATAGCTTGACTGAAAGGAGAACTCCCTTAGTTTGGTCCCCAGACTGTCAGCAAGCATTTGCTGCCCTGAAGAGGCATTTGACCAACCCACCGGTCCTGGCATATCCAAAGGAAGAGGGTTTGTTTATACTCGACACGGCTACCTCTCAACATGGAATAAGACGAGTACTCTCTCAGGTACAAGAAGAGTAGGAAGTCGTCATTAGCTATTTTAGGAAGTTTCTGGGAAAATCCGAAAGAAATTACTGCGTCACGAGAAAAAAAGCTCCTTGCAGAGCCAAAGGGGTGGATCCATCACTACCACTCCTTTTTATATGGCTGTAAATTCTTGATCAGGTCAGACCAGTCACCACTTCGGTGGCTCTTCAACTTCAAAACCTCAGAAGAACAAATAGCCAAGTGGATCTAAAAGTTAAAAACTTATGATTTTGAAATTCGACATAGGAAAGGAAAGATTCACGGAAACGCAGGTAGCCTCTCAAGAAGGTCATGCTTGACATCCGGATGCAAATTTTGTCAACTACAGGAGGACAAGGATATCCAGTTACCAGAAGTGGGCTGTCTAGGAGTAAACCTGTAACATTACTGAGTGAAACTTGTTTAAAAGTATAAAAGAGCGTTAAGGGGATACATTTATCCCCTTACTTCACTTTCTCCCGCCATAATACATCACATCTGATCGACTATTATGCTTACGTTTGGAATTCACAAAATTCCAGAATGCTTTAATATTACTCATTGGCGTATATTCAGTAAAATTAATAAAGGCTGTATAATCAATTTTTGCCGTTTTTTTTGAGCGTAAATGAGAAAATGTTAGGTAATCAGTGGGACACCCATCTGCTCCGATCGGTCTTAACGATAAATAATATAATCATCTAGGCCAAGTTCTACATCTGCAAAGCTATTGTTCAGCCACGTTTCAGTGAATGCAAGAACGTCAAAGGAAGTTATGGTTTCATTCGTATACAGTTGATTGAGTTTTTTTTTGAAGACTGCGAACATTTTGATAATAACATCAATACATCAATAGATGTTCTGACCTTTAAGACCATCAGGTTAGGTTGCAGAAGCGTATTTAGACCTCTTTCACTTTTCCGGTTTCGTCGTCACTTTCTGTTAAATTGGAGACCATCAGGTTGCAGAAGCGTCTTTGGCGTTCTTGAAACTCAGAACTCAATTATATTGTCAAAAAAGAAGTCACGAGTTAAAGGATAAAAATCCATATACCGAACAATGAATAATACATTTTTAATAAAACGAGTGATAATATTTCAGCAATATATCGGCGGTAGAAATTGTATTAAATTTTCTTANTCAAAATCAGTAGAGTGTATATCAGTGTAATCAGTATAATGAAAGTCAAACTGAAGGGTCCAATTTGTAACTTGTATTCATAAATTTTACCTTCAACTTTCAGTTTGCCCTTTGTTACATTTCAGCAGATTCTTCATTGATGTATCTTTCTTGATTTTCATATTGTGGTATGTTAAAAACTTTAAAAAAACGCTAAGAAACATAAAGGATCCCTTTATAATAAATATTAATTCATAATTTTGTAGGCAAAAAAAGAAAAGAAACGTTTGGAGTGGGAAGAACTTAAGAAAAAAAAGAGCCAGGAGCCAAAAATCGATGAAACATTTGAAGACTTTGCTCTGCAACATGATCTTCAACATAACAATATATTGCTACGAATATACGATACAACCATTAACCAAATGTACAATAACAGACTAATTCAAGCAATAATGTTTGGTCAGAAATTGGTGATTGATTGTGGTTATGATAGCAATATGACCAGAAGAGAAAATTTAAACTGTGCTAAACAACTCATGCTCTTATTTTCTGAGAACAGGTTTCATGACGGTAAGTAAAATTATATTTTTAGGTTGCTCTGGTATTTTTCAGTCTTCAACAGTCTTAATCAATCAAAAGTTAGTATTAGAAATATATACCTAATGACCTAATGCAACAGGTATTTTCCAAAACAGAAAAAAATCAACCGCAAATTAGCAACAATATCCCTCAAGATCGTTTTTTAAACGATTTTGCACATTTTTGTGTATTCTATAGTTTTAAGAATGAAATTTATTTGACCTCCGTATATAAAAGTTTGATTTTTGGTACAGTATAAGATTATTTTTCAAACATTTTTGTTAGTTGAGTTATGTAATATATGTTTCATATTTAAGTTTTTTCTTCTGATATGGTAAACATTGTTCTTGACAAGAGAACAATTCGGATTAGACTTGGTAATTTTCTCTTTATGCTTTGGTACATTTTTTTGTTTAACTTTTGATTGTTTCTGATAGGTGGAGATGCAAAACACTGTTTTTTTACAGAGGAACCCTTTTTTTCCATTAAATTTGATAATTATTCATAGTAACCTTTGAATATTTTTCAAATGAAATTTTTAATTGTACAAGTATGTGTGTGGGTACATATGTATGTATACAGTATACAAATTGAATTCCAAATGTGATATTGTTTTTTCAAGGACAAAACAACCACTACTTGAGGCGCTCTAAGAGTGGTGCCTGTGCGAAAGTAGTGATTAACATTGGATTTGAAGCACTACGGAAAAACGATCTCAGGAAGTTTTTTCCATATAAACGCAATTCTCCAAATGAAAGAGTTTTCAAACAGTGAAGTTCGAGTTGTACTGAGTTGAACTTCAAAACGATGAGCAGCCAAAGTCCGTCGTGTATTTCTAATATGTACTGCTCTTGGGGGAATCACATGTGGCAAGTCACTTGAACACTTCCCGTGAAAGTATCTACAGAAAAGACAACTCTCTAACCTTTCTTCGATATTCCAGACTATCAAGGTTGCAGGTGGATGGCTCTATTATGGATGGAATCCACCAGCTTCAGGGTATGCTTAGTGGCGGAACTCTATACAGGAGGTCTGATCTGAGCTTTATAAAGCATCAAAAGTTGCTGAGGTGTGTACAGTTTTTTGGTTCGGAACAGTTTTCCAAGCTTTTGAGAAGCAGCCTTCTCAATTCCAGCGACATGATTGTGCCAAGACATATTGGTGTGTTGTGACATTATTTTATCCGGTTCAGAGACATTTATTTTTTAGACGAAAACCGATGCTCTTATCCTCTTAATGAGGATCTAGATGCACTTCTAGATCCTCATTAAGATATGCTACCTCCTGCCTGGGTTTTTGTGGCATTGAATCGAACCTGGTTACTTTCGCCCCAATTCGAAATCACTTCTAGATCTTCATTAAGATATGCAACCTCCTGTTGCTGGTGAAGATGTGCATCCACAGTCGATGTCCTAAAATCCAAATAGAATGACAAGACAAGTGTGCTGTCGTCAGCAAAGCAATATATTGGTTTCTTGTTTTTTTCAATAAGTGGTTGATATACAATAAAAAGAGGGTTGGATACAATATGATTTGATTTGGTTCTCAGCAAATGATCTTTCAATGAATGTAAATAAAGCAAATGATCTTCCAATGAATGTAAATAAAACACTAGTAACAAATTTGGATATATGTATTTTTTCATTTATTTAGACGGGAAATAAACCTTTTTCAAAATAAAAATCATACAATAGATACAAATTCAGCCTAACCAAACAATTCAACATAAGTCAAGTAGGTACTAAGCGTGAGAAATTTAGATACAGTGATTTTTTTTTTATTGAACAAAGCTCAATGAGTTGTGATATTGGGTTGAAACATCCATAATTAGTGGTATGGTTCAGTAATTCGAACAAAGCAAGGTTTCGAGTTGCTTGGACCAGAATTCTAAATAACAAAGAAGATAACAGATCGGTACAATTTAAATCACCTGTTAAGATTTTGTGTAGAAATAAAATATCTTTCAGATTTCTACGTTTCTCTAGAGTGACTAGATTCAAAATACTTGTGATTATATTATGTTTGTAAGTATCTAACACATATCTTAGCTTATGCTGCATACTATGATCAACTTTCAAAATTGACGTGTATATCCATCTATGGATGGATGTATGCTAATACGAATAATTATTATTATTATTATCCTAATAAAGAGATCATACGGTTTATGCATATTCTAGAATCAATCAATCATAGGCAAGATATACCAATTTCAAGGGGTTGATATTCGGGTTAATAAAATTCCTACGGATAGAACCCAGTAGTTGTAGATACTAATTATAGAACTCATTCGAGAAATAAAGTTCAGAGATTTGTCAAAAATAACACCCAGGTCACGAGCCTCATTATTTGTTATTTCTTGTTATTTATAATCTACATAAACGATTTATGTTATAATTCAAACAAACACAATTCAATTACAGTCTTTGCTGATGACACTAATTTATTAATAGGCCGTGAAACATACCCTGAAGTAGTAAAAACAAGTACGGAAACGTTTAATGATACAAAAGAATGGTTCCCTAGGAATAGATTAATTTTGAATGAATCTAAAACTAATCTTATACTTTTTAGAACTAATCAATTACAGATAGAACGACCTCAAACTTTGAACATTGAAAACATAACTGTAAAATATTCAGAAGACACCAAATTTCTAGGACTTTATATTGATATATTCTTGAAATGGAACAGATTGATTATACAGCTAACAAATTGAGCAAAATTTCGCATGGACTAAGGGTGGTTCACAAATATCTCAACAAAGAATCGGTAAAAATTTTATATTTTTCTAATTTTGAGTCTGTAGCTAGATATGAAATCATATTTTGGGGAAGCAATAGAAATATAAATAAAATATTTAAGGAAATCATAATGAAAAAAAGAGAAATGAAACTTTCTATGTTTTTTACCACTTTTATTTGTAACTAACGTTACTGCAGTTTCGTCCTATACGGCCATTTTCAAACTTATACAATAAGCCATATAAGTAAGCCATGTAAGCCATAAAAGTATAATATACGGACATTTTCAAACTTATATAAGTTTGAAAATATCCGTATAGGATGAAACTGCAGTATCGTTAGTTACAAATAAAAGTGGTAAAAAACAGAAAGTTTCATTTCTCTTTTCTTCGTTTCTAATCAAGTTTGCAATCCAATTGTAAACCTCCTCTGAACATTCAATTTTCATTCCGTTGAATGTAACTTCATGTTGACCTGGTTGTACCGAATCGGCAAACTGTTTCATGGATTTATTTCTTTTATGTGTTACCTGCCTTTTTGTACTCATTTGACAAATGGAATTTGCAACCATTTTTCATATTTTTTAGTTAGACTTATGTACTTTCATTGTACTTACAGAAAAAAAGAATAGAATTTTTATACGAATTTCAACCACTTTGGTTTGTAGGCTTTCACGACTGGTGTCTAACAAATTTTTCAATGTTTTCGAGTTTATTAGTCGTGGTCTGCAAATTATTATTTTGTTTGTTACTGCGGCACACGTTCAAAGACGATGCGGCAACGATCGATGTAATCACCTTGCTGGGATGCCCCAACTGAAAATGGTCCTGGTACGTTTGTATTCATAATGGGACGGTGTCTGATGGCCGACTACTTTTGTACCTGATTCGTCTTATATCAGGCAGAAAAGTTCTTCCATTGGCCGTTCGCTTCAGTGTTGCTGTGGAGTGTTTCTGTATGGGTCATGGGGCTCAGTTGATTTCGGCCTCGTTTCATCTGTGACCCAGAAACGCGTTCTTCAGATGACACCTTTCATCTTGTAGCCCTTCCGGCTTGCAGATAAGTCTTGCCCTCTCTACCAGAGTTTTAATAACCCCTCTTTTCTGTCGCGGATGATGATTGGAGTGCTTGTTCATATATCTGTCCATATAGGTTGTTTTTCTGTAGACTTCATGCTCCACTCCGCCACTCTCCCGTCCCGTCAGCGATTTTCCCCTCCCTCTTTTTTCTCTATTGTGAACTGGATTTTCGGGTTCCAAGAATTAAAATATTCCAGAAATATCAAGATCGAGAAGTACAAAGCCAAAACCTTTCTTTCGCAGAAAACATATTCATATTCTAATCAATCAATATCAAAAATTGAGAACCAAAAACAAGAAGTTGAGTTTGTTTAATTTCATTGCTAATTAGAAACAAGACAAGTTGTTAAAAGAATGAAGTCTACATTAAAATCGGTTGAATTTATCGTTCATGTAATCTTATTTGTGAAAACTAAAAAAAATATTTGTTTCAGATCCTTTTGATTTATACTTTTGCAACGCTAATCAACGAGGGGATTTGATGAAATACGTTAACAAATTCATGCCTACATTATATGAACCTTGGTTTCCACTCAACGTTCATTCTTGTAGCTATCTAGATATTTTTCCTAAAAGTCAGCTTGTCTACTTGACCCCACATTGTAGAGAAGAACTCCAAGAATTTGACCACGAAGCTGTATATATTATTGGTGGTATTGTTGATAAGGTAATATCTTATTGGATTTATTACTACATCTTTAAGGGAAAGAGAAAAATGATTGAAATGAATATGTTTCTCGAATAATCTTTATATTTCAAATTCAAGGTGCGATAACATCAGTTATAGCACATTTGTCATATTTGGGTTAACCCACCAATAATATTGCCCGTTTTTTAAAGAAAGAATGCATGAACGTAGCTTACAGAACAAATAATAGTCTAAGTAAATTTATTGGAAGACAAAACTTCGGTGTCAGATAGATCAGGAGTAAATAAGCTGACTTGTGGCTCTTGCCCAAAACTGTATATTGTCCAAACAGGGAGAACATTTTCCCAAAGAATTAAAGAGCATAGAAGTAGTTTTGTAAATAAAAAGATCAATTTCACATTTGCAAACCACCTTTTAGTAGAACATGAGTTTAATCATGAATACGACATATTACATTTAGAAGCGAAAAGTTTGAAACTTAATCTTCTAGAACGTTTAGAAATCAATAGATTCAAGAATTTGGGTAATTTACTGAATGATCAATTAGAATTGAATAATAACCCGTTACTAAATATTTTTTCAAATATGGAAACCGAGACATAAGCTCAGGTAATTTACATAAGCTCAGGTACTTGAAATGTAGGTACTTCAAATCGTAAAATTAGGTATATCAAGCATTGAATATCTAGAATATAGTTAGTAAAGACAAGCCCGAAGAAGCCATTGTATGGCGAAACACGTGTTGCGTTTTTGTAAAACTATTTACTGAAAATCTCACAAAGTGTTTTTTGAATACGTTCTTCATATTTCAATTGACATATTCACTATCCTTAAGTTATTTTCAATAATGAATTGATTATGAAAGGCAAATAATTAAAATTGTCGAGAAATGCTATTGCCTTAGAATAAAATTCAAATAGGAATTTATCCGATTTTTCAGTAACCATGGTTATTACAAATTTTGTCTTTATATTTCAAAAGCAAATGAAAGTTTTTTCATACACTCCTTACATTTTTAATAATTTACAGAATAAAAAATATATCAAATAACATTAGTATTCACCTCTTCCTTCTATCGTATGTAGTAGGGGTTGAAAATTCCTGAAGGGCAATAACTCACTTGTATTGTATCTCTAAGAAAAGGTCTTCAATTCTTGAAATTCCAGAACCTATTTCTTCAATGAAGTAGTATTAATATAGTATGTATAATTTATTAGGAAAGAACTTAAATAATATTTCAATTTGGTATTGAGGAATAGGGGTTGATAAAAAAAGATAAAAAATCAAAACTAACAAATCTTTTAGAAACTTTCAATTTTCAAATAAGTTGACGTCAATTGTCTAAAGTCTAAAGAAAGGAATTCTCAATGTGAGAAAATATATATGGACTATAACAGCACAATCATTTTAGTTGGTAACAACAATATTCCTGATGCAGAATGAAACAATGATAATTTTCTTATTATTCAATTGTTGTAGTGTTTAATTTTCTACTAGTTCAATAATATTTCTAAGAGTCGGGAGATTTTCTTGATCTGGTTTTCTCTCCAAAACAAGCACTATTTTCCAATCACTTGTAACTGCAATACTCTTCTCGATATGCATTATACCAACCAAGTTGGTGTCTTCAGTTTTCTTCATCTCACCATAACCAATCATCATCAATATTTCCATTGTCTCAGTCTCACTCAAACATACCATTACACTCAATTTAGGAATTAGAATATAAATAGCGGAAACCAAAATTTAATTGAATTAATTTAAAAAATGATTTTTCGAACAATGTCCGATCAGCGTATATATAAAAGTATTTAATTTGGAAGAATAAATACTTTTATTGAGGATTTCTAGCTATATAATACAATAAACATAGAAAAATGAACATAGTTTTTCCATAACCTATTTTGTTTTCAGATGAACAGTGAACCACTGTCATTAGCCAAAGCTAAGAGGGAAGGTTTAAAGATGGCAAAACTGCCTTTAGATAGATACCTTCAATGGGGAGCAGGATCTGGAAAAAGTCTCACCCTCAATCAAGTAACATCAATATTACTGGATGCGAAGAAGACAGGAAATTGGGAAATTGCTCTACGACATGTTCCTAGGAGAAAGTTGATGGATTACAATCAAACAGATGGCACAAAAATGAATTCTTTCAATATGAGAAATGAAAGGCACTCTACAAAAAAGTGGATACCATCTGCCAATATTAAATTTGGGAATTTAGGGTATAATAGAAGTGATAAGAATGAAGAAAAGCGAAGATTATTGAAAATCAAGAGTATTTTAAATGAGTAAAAGTGTTTGAAGTATAATAAAAGACATATTATAACTTGTTCTATCACTATACCGGCCAACTCTTCTAAGCCAATCAATCAATAAAAATGTATTTTATTGTCTCAAGATGATTTTCTTACTGACAAAGTCTTCAGAGTAAAAATACAGAAGGCAATTGAGAACATAAATACATACATATAGACCATATGCTACTTCTTCGCAAGCTAGAAGTTTACGGATTTAGAGGATCTGCGTTACTTTGGTTTGAGACCTACCTTTCTCATCGGTTTGGGACTGGTATTGTTTCTCATTTATGTCAACGACTTAGTCCATGTGGACATAAGTGGTAAATTCATATGTTTTGCTGACGACACCACTAATCTCTGGCATAGCAATATCGTCTCAAATTTACTTTATCAAATCATTGTCGCCATAAGAAGGGTGAAACATCAACAAAACAAATGTCGTCACCTTTAGATGTAACATAAGGGAAGTACTCTTGGAAAATGTAAAAATTGAAAATTTGGAGAAAAACAAATTTTTAAGGCTCTTCATTGATGAAAGTTTCCATAATTCTGGCGCATAAATCAGACTGAATTTGACCGATGACATAGGTTATGTAGGCTTTGAGGACTGCTGTGGTTGGTGTCTAATTCGTATACACCTGCGACTTAAGAAAACCCCACAAGAAAAAGTATATCAGATTCAAATCGCACGATCTTGGTGGCCTGTTCACATAACCTCCACATGAGATGACCATGCCCACAAAACGCTAATGCAGAATATCCGATTTGGCACGAGCGTGCGGCACGTATCGTCGTCCTGTTGAAACCACATGTCATTGGTATCCAGATCATCCAATTCAGGTCAAAAGAAGTTGGTAATCATTGATGTATAGTGCTCACTGTTGACAGTGATGGCCTGGCCCACGTCGTTCTCAAAGAAATTTGGACCGATGACGCCGCCAGCCCAAAATACACACCAAATAGTGACTTTTTGGGGGGCATTGTATGCTCTTGGATCTCATATGGATTGGTATTTCGACAAGTTTGTTTGTTCACGTACCCATTCATCCAGAAATGGGCCTCATCGCTGAAGATGATTTTTCAATGAAAATCAGGGTCAGTTTGCTCCACTGTATGGCATTCTACTGTGACTGCTGTAGAGCCCATTCAACGAACACACGTCGTTGTCTATGATTGTTTACCTTCAGTTCCCGGGTCAGTTGAATTTTGTACATGTGCAGATGTACATGTGTAGATCTATCTATCTATCTAAGTTACGATGCAACTATGTTTTCGTCAGATCTTGCCTTTCGTCGACGTACGGGTGTTGGTCGATCGTTTACTGAACCAGTGGACTCAAATTTATCCACCGCATTGCGAACAGTCCTCTAGATAAGACGATTATGGCGACTGTAAAATGGTCGAAGCACGCCGTACATTGCCCGAACAGAACACCCATTTTGATAAAACAATTTCATTATTTGCACATGTTGTTGATTGCTATATCCAACCATGGTGATTTGGCAAAACAAACCTTATAAATGAAAACTAAGTTGACAGATGTAGCTTCAGCAATATGGCTGTTATCAATCTGTTTACTGACAACTTTCTAGATGAAATCACATGTAACCAATGGACTCAAGTCGATTGATGTTCTTTAGATACAATTATTAAATCAACTGACGATTATGTCAATTTTTTTATAGAATCAATTACAAAAGTAATCCAGCATGATTTCATAGTTAAACAAACAAGGCTGAATACTTCCCATACTGTAAAGAATAATCTTGAAATGAGACAAGTTCTTTTTGTTGCCGATTTTTCTGAGAACTATTCGTTTTTACTACAAAGCAGTGTGCAAGGAATAATAAACAAGTGACAATCCATCCCTGTGCTTGTTATTGTAGATCAATTGATGAGAATGAAAGGAAAGTAGTACAGTGAGTTCTTTCATGGGTACCATCGATAATAATAACTTTATTTGTAGATACATTTCTGTGCCAGTGAAAAAGTGAGTGTAGTTATTAACTCACAATTATATAGAAAGCAGAAATGACTTTTTAATTTTTTTACTGGTCCACAAAAATGGATAGCATAGTATCTTCGATATATTTTTGTAGTGAAAGATGTACACTTTCATATCAAAAGTTCAATAAACACCACGTCCCATTAAGATTTTCGAGATAAATAAAATGAAATAATTCATTTACAATAAACTTAAGTATAGTATGTGGATTAGTAAACAATTTTTGAATTTTTATTCAAAAATTGAGTAAATTTCGTCATTTGTTTCCCCTACGAATTGGCTAACAATACTTCTATAAATGACGTCATAGTGCCGCCATATTAAATTTGAAGAAAATGGCCTCTATGCCGCCATATTGAATGGAAGTGGACACGTGACATATCGTCGAAAAGAGAATTTTATATCCAATCAAATGGTCAAAAATATATAGAATGTGAATTAGTAAACAATTTTTGAATTTTTATTCAAAAATTGAGTAAATTTCGTCATTTGTTTCCCCTACGAATTGGCTAACAATACTTCTATGAATGACGTCATAGTGCCGCCATATCAAATTTGAAGAAAATGGCCTCTATGCCGCCATATTGAATGGAAGTGGACACGTGACATATCAAATGGTCAAAAATAATATACTAGGTTATATTTAAAATTCTTGACTTAGGTTCACTTCCGGTTAATCCTGTAAATATTTTCAAGTTTTTCATCATTTTAAATATTGGGTTTGACAAAGTAAACCTTCATTCCCAGTTTCCTACCTCATGAACAACTAAATGGCGGCGTGTACAATGATTTTGTTGTCACCCGGTCACACTTGATACATTTCTGAACAAAATAAATAAAACATACTTTAAAATTCAAACACATGAAAATATTTTCTATAACTATTTGTAAAAATGAAATAGACTGACTTGGACCTCTTTTATAGCCTCTCCTAACCCAACCTAGTCACTTCGACCACAGAGATTTCTAACAGTGTAAATGGTACAGGTTTATGAGCGATTTATTTTCTCATATTCTAGTGAGTTCGTAATTGATTTTACTCGATCAGTTGAGCCACCATGAGCAATCCTCAGAAATTTTTGAGAGACCGGTGCAAGCTAAGGAAAGGCTTTTCTCTTCTCTAAATAAAAAATTGGAATTCTATATCAGACGATTTTTTATATGAATACTCCAAACTGAAATATTGCGGGTAGCATTAAAAACAACTGAGTCTAACAGATGATACTTATTTATTACTATATGTTACAGACATAAAATTTTAGATTTGTATAATACATTTCTTTCATATTAATATAAGTACAATGTGCCATATGTAGAGCAATAGCGTGCTCATTCATAAGAAAAATAAATACCAACAGTAAATAGCATCGCTTTTTAACATTTACAAAAATTAAAACTTTAAATACTTATTTCGTCGATAATTGTTCGTTCCTAAGTCCCATGTTATTTGAGAAAAATCAATATATTATATTCACTAATGTACAACTTAATTATGACCACCTTATGGACAATTTTTGATTTCATATTCACTCAATGGAACAAGTTTAATCTCGAAATTATAACAAAGACAAATAATTTTTTAATTTTTCTCCAAAATCAAAGGTGGACGGCACCATGAAATTTTTCTTTCCCAGAGGTCACTGATAAATAAAATGGAATGAATATCGAACATAAGAATTTAAAACGAAGTTGAGCAGTTGAAAATTAAGTATTCTCAGAGAAAAGATATTTTAAAATGAGATACAAAATAATTACAAAAAATCACAAAGAATAAGTAGTGTGTAATACAATCGAATAAAATATTTTCGAAAGCAATCTCAGCCTTTTTCCAACAATTTCAATCACACTAAATTGTGATTATATGGAAAGATTATTCGTTAAGTACATATGATGTAATTTGTGCAGGTGCTTCATTTCATTATTGGCAGGTGAGAGTATATAGCCTAATCTTTATTATTTTCAAAAATTCATTCTAAATTCCTACTGAAGCATAGGAAATTGTAATATTTCTGAGACTACTGAAAGTCAACATGTATAATAAAGTTGAGGATTCATTACAAAGTTCTGAAACTACAGAACGTATGTTGAACAGTTCATGCTTGGAGACCCTCTTGTATTTGATTTGAGTGTTATTTAATAACAAGTGATTCAGAAAATTGTAAGTCACATTGCATAGAAATATGTTTTTCATTTGACTTCAACTGCAGGAACCATTATTCCATGTTCGACAACCTTTTTGAAAACTTTACTAAACAAACCAACTCTTTGGATGTAGAACTTGTGTTTGGATAGAATTCATTTCAGTTAGTTGATTTCCACACGCATTGAAAAAGTCATAGTATTCATAAGGTTCTAAAACTATCATTAATATTGGGGATTTGAAAACTGTTCAAATAAAAAGAAAACTAATTTGTTGAAACTGGCAGATTGCTCACAATCTTCCAAATCAAATAGATTATTAAGATTTTTTTTACATGAACTGTTATGAAACTTGAGTATCGTTTAGTTCATACTGAATAATTATGATTAATAGCTTCGTCATTTAGATGAAATCAAAAAACAACTGTATTCAAAACATCAACAACATAATGAATTGATGAATATTTCTGATGATTTTAATAGCTAAACCCCTGAATACTTTTATCCAAAATAATCAAATAATCAAACACCTTAGATGTATATAAAGTGAATGAAAGTCTTGATTCCCCCCTAATTTTTGTAACTTACTTTAAATTGGTTTAGGAGATTTTGGTCATATAATTTTTGTTATATATACAGATTGCACAGATAGTCCTGGCAAAATTAAGTTGCAAAGGCAACTTAAACTGGAATGAATCACATAAAAACAGTAATTTACAAATATCACAGAATAAAAGTTGACCTGAAATATTTGTAGAATACTCAATAATAACAAACTGAAACTGTCAACAATATAGCCATCTGAAACAATGTTTGAAACCTCTGAAATAATTGGAAATCAAAATTCATATTCAACATGTTTCTTATAAATGTGTTTGATCTAATTCTAATAATTGTTGAATTACTGTTGAATTTATTCAAAAATGTAGTTTTCAAAAATTGTTTCAAACCAGCAATACATAAACAAATCTGTCAAAATACTCAAAAAAAATAACACTACAGCTGAATCTGAAAAGCTTTCGGAGTCACGTTATTTGTAAGAAATGGATTTGTATTATTCGTATTCTGTTTAGCTGCCAAATCCGCCCATTCAGCATCAAAAGGATCTTCCTTACTAGCTGGAAAACTTTCAGAACCAGTATCCAACGATACTGCTCTTGAATGGGCCTTTAAGGAAGGAGTCCTTCTAGGAGAGGTTCCATCCATTCGCGCAGGACTGGGCGAGGATGAATTCACTATTTCCAACCATTGCTCAGGCTTTGGCAATGTACTTGTAGAACTGACGCTTGAATTTACCGAACGCAGGTCATTTTTAGGACTGAAATTTAAACTAACTGGAGTATAACCAGCTGTAGTCTGAATAGGCACAGCCCTTATGCTATTGCTAATCGTTGTGAGGTTCAAGTTGAGGGTATTCTGGTTCACAGAGCTTTGATTATTGAAGTTGAAGTCGTCAGATCCACTATGAGTCAACTGACTCAAACCTTGAGAAAGTTGTTGGCACAGGGCAGTGACAGATTCTCCAGGAGATACCTCAGGTATTGGAGATACTGGGAGTTTTCCATTACTGTTCGTTGGGGAAGTAGGAGATTTGTAGGAGTTAAAACGAGCGGTGTTGCTAGGAAGTTCATTGACTCTGAGCGACATCTGTCTTTTGAAAGGAGAACTTTGGCCCAAAGTGCTGAATCTGTAATAAGAAGAGGGTTATTACTAGAAACAAATTATTACAATTTTATAATGAATTTGCCTGAGATACAACTATATTGAAATATGCTTTGATTTATTCAAGCATTCGATGGTTTTGAAAACAATGGTCACACCACTATATTTTAAATAGAAAAAATTCATTCGATTTAGTACTATACAAAATATACTTGTAATGAAAGAAGATATATTACAAATTGACAAGTAGGAACATCTAGGTAAAATCTGTATGAGACTGAAAAAATTCAAAGATATCAAATACTCAACATTGAGACTAAACCTTGTTCGATCTATGTAGAAATTCATATTGAATAAAGGATAAAGAAAATAACTGATTGTTTGATTTCAACTAACATGAGAATGTTTCAACAAATCGAAACAGTTGTAATAGACAAAAGTTCCTTTTGCCCTATATTCAATGACTCAATCTGTTCAAAATATGTTTTTCCGTTGATCAGCTGCCGCCCCCATACGAACGACAACTCTCAGAAGTTGAGAAACTTGTGCGAGCTAAGGACTAACGAGGTCTTACCTTTTAACGTGTGATTCAATGCATTTGAAAATGCAAATATATGCCTCAAATATATATTAACATTTTTCAATTTGCTAAATAATCTTACAATTGACTAGATAAAACAAATAAAAGGTCAGTAGATCCTAACTAAATGAATTCTATTGAAAAAATATATACTAACGATTTCACCTATGACATCGTTTGACATTGAACTCTGACCTATGACTTACTTTTTTGAGATTTTTCTGTTTGATATTAATCAATAGTATAAGGCTGAATAACCTAAAAAACACAGGGAGAGACACCAAAAATTAATAATAAGCGAAACTTTTCAAAATAATCCAGTTACACGTCAGGTTTGTGAGGGCGACAAATTTTTACTCCTAAACTATAACAAAACTTTCAACCCTCTAAGCAGAGTTTTCAAATTTTTCAAAATAGAAATGGAAAGTATGTAACACCCCATTGAAAGAACTTTTGATTACCTACCCATTGCTGTTTCGCTTCTGATAAATAGTCCACTCTTGAAAAATATGGAGTTTTGGAATTCAAACAACACATTTTTAGAAAAAAGCAATAGTTATATGCATTTTATCTAAAAATCTTACGATATTAATTGTGTAAATATCACAGAAATGTAGACCGATGAATTTCAAACATTTTGAAGCACTTTGTGTTATTTCGCTCCATACATTGATGATAGATCTTTGATGGTTTCCTAATGAGTCAGGTGGAGTGCGTTATTAACCATTTTCATGGAAACCACAAAACATCTAGAGGACTTGAATCTGGTTACTAAAAATTCCACTCAATTACACCCCTTCGTCATATCCAGTTCCTGTTGGAATATCATTTTCCCTTCATATTGTTCATTATCTATAGTATTAGTAAGAACTGGGTCAATATGAATGAATACACACACTCACACACAAACACATATATACAGATATAAATGTTAGTTTGTTTGGCCGTGTTTTGATAATGCATCTTTGGTAGCCTGATGATGTCTTTGTGTTTTATGTCATGATTGTCAATCCTGGAGTTACTATTATATTTATTTTTATGAACAAACAATATTCTTTCTAGAATTATAATGAAAGGTAATGTAAGTGTGACACCTATTTTATAAAGATAGGTTTTGGAATCAACTTTTTCTAAATCTCTCATTATCTTTTTTTTTGAGAATGAATACTTCACTTGTATGTGGGGAAACACCCCATATCAATATTCCATAGCATATCATTCGAAACTAAACTCCTTAGTAGCGACACAATTAATCATTTGGGATCTATTTGCGATAATTATTCCCTGAGTTTTATTTGCATTCAAGCATAGAACATTATCGTTTAAGTATGTCTCGCTTTTTGTCATTGTTTCATATGACAACTGATTTAATTCCTCAAATTGTTTGTTACTTATGACAAAAGTTCCATCATCGGCATATAAAAAACATTTGATGTATCAACATAAGTAGGAAGATTATTAATATAGATAATAAATAAAAGGGAACCAAGTACGGATCCCTGAGATACTCCATGTTTGACAATTTTGGTATCATATGTTATTATATAATATATATTGCAGCCTGTCTGTCAAAAAAAATTATTAGGTCATACGCTAGGTATACCTCTAATGCCATATTTTTCAAGTAAGCGAGTGCAGATACCCAAATCTTCATTATGGACAATGATGTGAACAATTTCTGTCATTGCTTGGGATGTAGATCTCATCGATAGAATTTTAGAGTGAATTTCAGGATGAAAAAAGGATCTAAAAAAATCCAAAAATACCAGACCTTGTTCAAATTTTGAGAACTGCAAAACCACAAAAATTATCATACAAAAACATTTTTCATTACCCTTTGATAATATTTGGATTGGAAAACTCTCTAGAAGCGATAATCTAGGGATGGAAAGTTAATTGAAAAAAATTAAATGAAGCACCAAAGAAAATGCTGAACACCTTCAAAATTACTTATTTAGATATTTATGTCAGTAGTTTTTACTGTACTCGATGATGAATACTAGAATAGGGTGACTCAACTAGGCTTATTGGTTAAATAAATGACTGCATGTATTATTAACAATCAGTAAAATGAATAGTTTCCTTGAAAAAATACCTTCTGTCAGTTTTTTACATATTCATAATGTAACTTTTCTAGAGGAAATATCTAATAGTCAATCTTTTAATAAATAACTTTAAAATTTCTTGCAGGAAAATTATGACCAAGAGCCAGTCGAGAGTAGGGTAACTGCAGTTCATTACCATTCCGAGTATGATGTTTATGTATCATGTTATTTTCAATGTAGCTTGATTCCTTTTTCTTGATATTCATTGTTATTTTGAGGATATACAGTGATGGCAATGTTAAGAGTGACAGTTCAGTGACATAGACCTGCCATACATCTTATTATCCTTTTTTGCACTGTGAATACTTTTGTCATATAGGCGGAATTTTTCCAAAAGGCTAGCCCATAAGACATTGCAGACTGTATGAGTCCAAAATACGTCAGTTTGAGTACCTGTAATGAAACAGTTTCCTGTAACTGTCTCATTACAAAAAACAAGCTACTCATTTTTGAGGTAAGATTTTCTGCATATATTTCCTAAGTCAGTTTTTGATCAATTGTGATTCCTGAGTATTTGATATGATTGACCTGCTCTATAAATTTATGTTCGATTCTTATGATGGGACTGTAATCATATGAAGTATTTTTTTTAATGGAAGACCATGAATAATGTTTTATTTGTATTAACTAGTAAACCATTACTTTTACAACAGTGTGAGAATTCTTCTGTAGTTTTGTTTGCGACTTTTATCGAGGGTGAAAGGTTGTTTTATGCCATTATTTGGCTTGTATCATCTACATATATTATAGTTTTATTTGATGACAGAGATGCAAGTACTATATCACTCATGAAGATTATGAAAGATAGAGGGGCCAGCGTTGAACCTTGTGGGACTCCTATTGTAACCAGGGCAGTTACTGATTTTACCGAATCAATAACTACTACCTGGATCTTTTTTTTAGATATGGGGCAATCCAGTCATTGGCTACCACCCTAATCCCCATTCGGTAAAGTTTTTCAAGAAGTAATTCGTAATTAACGGTGTCAAAAGCCCTGGTAAGATCAAAATATAAGCAGACTGGAAATTGCTTCTCATTAAGGTTCATGTATAAGTGATCACACAGTTCATTTATCACAGTGATCTTTTCAGCCTAAAGTCGTGCTGGCAATTAAAAATAAGTTTGTGATGATCAGCGAATTTACTCAATCTCATAGAGTAGCTATAATCAATTTTTTTTGCTAATTGTGATTGCAAAAATACGTTTCTGTATTTGTTTACTTCATTTTTTGATATTTTGTTTTTATAGATAAGGACAGATTTTCATATTTCAAGCGCATCCTGATAAATCCCTTTTCAGAATGATTTGTCTATAATGACACTGACAGCCCTCAAGGTTTTCCCATGTATTTCATCTATACCTGGAGTTGGCGTTTCTGTTGTTTTTATTATAATCTCTTGAACCTCCATTGGAGCTCATCATAGTTATTGATTTCCAAACAATAAAAATCATGGTAGTCTAATAAACATGATAATTAAACGAAATTGAAAGTCACTCATTACATCAACACATAAATAAAGTAACTTTTACTGTATTTTTTTAATTTCCAGTGGGCTCGAAAATTCTAAGCAATATTGAGAGATTTACAGAAGAAATTTAATGATTCAGAGATCTGAAAGACAACAAACTGAAATATGACTCAGATTCAAGTGACAGAATCGAAATTTGGTTAAAAGATTTAAAAACGGAATAACTAAAACTGAAGTTTTGAAGATTGGAAACAATGAATTAAGGACTCAAAATTATTGAAAATAATTGGTTGTTGGATATTAAGGAAAAATGTTCCCCTGATTAACATTTTCGAATTATCATAATCCTTCTTTAATGAAAAAAAGTAAAAATATCAATTTCAGAATGATAAAAAGTAAATGTAAAAGTAAAGTTGTTAATTTCAATCGTTCAATAAATACTTAGCAACGAATAAAAACTCTACTACTGCATTAATGAAAAATTGAATACCTACCCTCTACAACTTCCTTGCCTCTGTAACATGCTAGGAGTTGCATGAGGGCGTTCAATGGCAAATGGGTTGACGGGAGGAGCTTTCGGAACATCTATACCTCTTTCCCTATCCAACATCTCTGTTAAACTTTGCTGTCTGAAAGAACCATTCCTTGTGAATGTGTTGTTACTTTTGTCAAACATCATGGTTACTCCACACTCCTTATCCCTTTTCTGTTTCCTGAAAAAATAATTTTGGGTTATGTTTTGAATTGTTATTTCATGAAAATGTATATCAAATAACCATGGTTTTTCTCCTAATGACAACTTGGTGACGTTCGCGTCAAGAAAAGTACACAGTTCTGATATGTGAGATGATCGTTTGTGGTTGGACTATTTCTGTGCCCAAGAATCGAATTCAATATTTAGTTTTTCAGGGTTTGTTTAATTTTTTTTTTCATATTTCATCATTTCACTTTCTTAGAGGATGTTCTACCCTGCATCGAATCAATACAAAACGCAAATCGAAAATACTTCGCCTGCAAGTAATCAATAATTTTTTTTAATTATTGGTTCATCAGAAAACTTCTCCACTATATCAAACTTAGATAAAGCACATCAAATTCGAAAAACAAACTCTCGTCATATAGGAAGATTAAAAAATCAGCAACCAATGCAGTAGTAAACTATCTTTACATTTTCAAAGTTATTCGAAAGACTTTTTTGGTTGACAATATTTACTGGAATATAAATTGACGACCTAGTTATCAAATTACTTTTGATTACCTTTGTTGCCATTTTATCGATTTTCTCTTTGGGCAGATCAAAAAAAAATTTAATCATATGATAGACGTGTACATAAATGCTTCTTTCCTTGGAAATAACTACAAAAATGTAAAAATGTTACATTATCCCTTCATCCACTCACCCCTTCAATTGGAAGAGGATTGAGTGAAAATCTTCTATGGAAGCAAGAAAGAGTGACTCGTCTTACTTCTCATTCAAGGAGATGTAAAATGGGGAAAAATATAATGCAGAATTAAAATAAAACATTTACTGTAATTAATTATTGTGTTTCTAGAAAATGAAAATACAGATTATAGGATCGAGCAGGAATTTTTTGCTTCAAAACAATTTGAAGAGAAGTTTGCGAGAAAGTTAAACCTTGTGAAATAATCATTGATGAGGAAAATTTTATTTTTGGGGTAAGTCTTAATGGTATTATTAGAAGAAATCAATAGTAAAAGTGAAATGGCCAAAAATAATTTCGAAAAGACATCCATTTGGGCACAAGCTCCGTTGCAGGGTGGGTTTTGCATGCTGCTAAAATATGTCATTAGAATAATTCACCAATTGGGTTGGCCACAGACATGTAAAAATTCACCCACATTGAACAGAGCTTTCACATAATCAAATACAAAGCCAACATGTTCTTTTGACATCTTTTCAATGTCAGCTAACTCACGAAACTTCACTTTTTGATCATTGAAAAGGATTTTGTGTTTTTTTTTTAATGTTTTCTGGTGTCACTGCCTCATTTGGACTTCCACTGCATTCTGCATCATCGGTGTCTCTACGACCACGTTTGAAGTTAGCAAACTGAAAAAGCGGTGAATGCAATAAGACTAGCACCATCTATGTGTTAGACCCTAGACTTTTCAGCTTGAATACAGTTAATGATGTTATCTTTGATAATATTTATAAATGGAGCTTATATAAGGATAAATAAAAAAGATGTTGGACATCAACTAAATAAATTGAACATACTGTATTGAAATGTTTTCAAATTACCTTTCCAGACAAACAGAAAATGCACAACCGACCGCATGGGAGAGTCTTTCTCCGCTTTCCCTAAGCGCCAAAAATCCGTGACACATCCATCTCCTTGTTGTACCATCTCTACATATGTAGCTGAAACCACGTTCATGATTTCTATCTGGTGCACAGAAAGATACTTTTTCTATCGTTTGATCTACTATCAGTCCTTTAGTCTCCTCTTCAACAACTCTCAGACCATCACCACTAACATGAAGAACTGCTCTCACAGGCCTTCTTCTAGATCCCTGAAGAGAATAAAACAATAATCACTTATTATGATCAGTTCGGAACTCAGTAGAAAAAAAGCATGTTCTCATTTAAGCTAGCATAGAATAAACACAAACACTACTCCCACACACCAAGACTGCAACACTCTTTTCAACGAATGTTTGTTTCATTAACCAAGTTGGCGTCATCGAAGTGTTGCAATTCTGGTGAGTAAAAGCAGTTTTTGTGTTAGATACAGAATGATATATTCAATTAGCATGTGATGAATTCAAAAACATTGTGAATGCTTCCATCCATATGAGTATATATAGGTTCAAATATGTCATGTATTCTGATACCATCATTCTGACAATAGCAGGGGAGAATTTTTCGTTATCCTTGAATTATTTCCTTCAAAATAAAAAAAAATTGCTACACTCGAGAATGTCGAAATGACGTTATTTTTTTACAACTTTGCTGCCCTCCCCTTTCTTTACATCACTCTCAAATTATCAGATTACAGGAATATACACTTTTTAGCAGGTAATTAACTCACCCTACCTTAATCTGACGCGCTCAAGAATTTCTGATGATCAATTTTTTTTACTAATCTGATCCTGTATCCCTCACATGCGGCCTTATATATGGGGCTCATATTTGGTGGAGGTACTTAACCGGGTACAAGATATCCCCCTGTATATTAATCTGCCGCGCTTTAGTACATCCCAAAATCCCCGCTTGGGCTCCCCTATTACAATAAACAGCATTTCAATACGCTCCTTGACTCTGAATTGTCCTAATATTACGAAAGAAAGTATATCTCACGGTACTGAGAAAGGTGGTGGGCAGTGAAATATTTCATGTGGAATAAAATCACCTTTCTTGTTGTAGGATTGTTGTAGGAATGTATAAGTCCAGCTGGATAATCTATGGTTCTCAGTTGTTACAATGTATATATAATATTAATAACACAGACAGGTCTGAAGCTAATTTGAGAGTCCCCCTGTTCTCCCTAAATGATATACTTTTCTGAAGTATAACTGATGGTGGTTACAAATTAACAATATTTTCACTTGATAACTAGGTTCATACTTATCAGTCTCTTGTTAACTATTTTCTTCAGATTTGTTTGTTAAGGAGTATGTAATCTAGTGTTCAACTAGTAGTTCGGAAAGCATATCGAGGATACCAAGTTTAGTACCCACGTATTTCATATCAGAAATTAGCTGGGTTCAGAAAACTTTAGACAAATAAATTTGAATTTGTTTATATATGAAATATATACCTACATACATATATGATATTTACCAAAGAGTTAAATTGTGAAAGCAAGGGTAGGAGGAGAAAAACTAAGTAAATATATCAGTTTTGAAATATTTTAATTTCAACAAGTATATGACTCCCACTGAAGCTGCTTGATACTGCGAATAAAATTTATTTTTTTTCATTGATTGAATAGAACTGGCCAATACTTGAAGCAAGTCAAATTGAGATTGAATTGTAGGATATTTTCAAATTTAATTATTTCGAAAAAAAAGGAGTTAAGAGATATTTCTCTCACTGTTGGAGATATTTGAGCACATCAATTATTTGAAAGAAGAAAAAAATGCGTATTCCCTATTATCTGTTTCATTTGACGTGGATTGGAATATTTAGATCATAAAGGAGATTCTGGAGGACCAAAAGTGGATTGAAAATTCATGTTGCCTCAAGGTTCTCGAAATAAAATTCTAGTTGATAATATGGAATCAAAGAGTGTTACTACCACAATATCTAACTTACATGCCTATCTGTCTAAAATATTCCAAAGAGTACCCAAATCAGCTTCGATTTATGTCATAGTTTCTAGGTAGTAGCACTGATTTTTAATCTCTCTCAATTTTGATTTTGAGTTATTCCATGTTCATTACTTTCTGCTTGAATGATAAATTTACACCATGAGGTACAGCTAGGATATTCTGATACGAACTGTTGTTCGGCTGAACTATAAAATTATTAATGAATGTATAAAATGCAATTCATTTTCGAGCTGGGAAAATCTTTTCATGAAGATTCCTCAGAATGGAGGTGCGAACAAAACTTATGAATTGCTTCCCTTATCAAAAACAACAATTCAAACTGAAAAGCTACAAGTTCATGTCAATGTATAGATTCGAATAAGACTAGCTCCCTCAGTTGAGTGAGCTGGTAGTTAGTATAGGCTTTGCAACTGACCGCCTTGAGGAGGGTCGTTTATCTTTGATGTTCGAGTATTGAGTTCTTTGTCGATCCCATAGATGGCGTCTTCACAAAGGGAGGTGTAGCGCCCTTCTTTATTTAGGCTTGCCCTTTGAGGGCAGTTTAGTTCAGTTATTCATTTGTGGTTCAGCCTGACATCACTGATGAGACCTATGACGTCGAAGCAGTGCTGTCTGGTTTTGAACTTTATCTGGTTTTTAATCTTATGCCTTGTGAAAGACAGAGGACGAATCCCGTCGGTGGCCGAAGTCGAAGCTAGGTTTTGCAACTGACTACCTTAGGGAGCCTCGTTTAAATTTGATATTCGAGGATCTGTCGATCTCTAGATGGCGTCTTCGTAAGTAAAGTAGCGGATGGTGACAATATTGCTCTATAAAATATTGAGTTCCAGAAAGACTATTTCTAGTTATAATCTCAATACGTTATCAGAATTGGAATTAAAACAATAACTGACAAATATAAAACACATAAGCAACAGAGAAATATCGTCATCTTCAAGAAACATAAAACTTTCTATATCTCAATCCATCTCCACTTCAAGCAATTATTCTAATTGTCCTACATCATACAAATATTTCAACACAAACTGTTTGCTGTTTGCCTGAGGATGACGATTTCGTATCCTCCCATTACAGTGACAGAGATAATCACCATATCTCAGATTATTCAAAGGAAGACAGTAGGGGGAGCAGGGGAGGTAAACAGAGCGTAACAAGTTTCAACAAGATTACACTAATAACTCATCTTTCAGTCAAAAGCTTTGAACTTAATGGGTTGAAAAATATTAAGAAACGTTTCTTGAACAACTTAATCCAATGTCTATCATACACAAGATGGTTGCTGAAGTACCTTAAAAATGATACCTACATTAGAGACATCCACACTAATATTTCTAGTATGATGGGTGCAGAAGTTATCAAAGAACTGTAAATGAATGAATCTTATAGAAAATGTATCCTAATAACCTAATATACAAACAATTCTGACAGATGAAAATATACTCATATCAATTGAAAACAAATCTTAACATTATGAACATATACATAGGCCTGTAAACATAAATAGAACATAAGATGATAGTGACGGATCAAATATCAGTGGTTAGATCTTATTTGAATAACTAGAGTAGTTTTCAATTCTTTAATATTTTTCACATCCTTTTTGTGATAAGGTAGTTCATTATTTTTTAAATATGTGATAGATATAATTTTATTATCAAATAAAGTCCAATAGAATTCTTTTTATTTGACAACTCTTATCAAAAAAGGTTCTTATTAATAAACTTGATTTAACTCCAAAAATATTGTCAGATATCAACTAAATAGAAAACTTGTATAGAGGGAATAATGAAAACATACATTCTAAATCTAACATTCTCCCCTATTTTTAAATAAAAAAAATTGAAATTTCAAAATGATTCATTATAAATTTCACTCGAAACCATAACGACGCGGAGCTCTGAGCTCTTTCTTGTCATGCTCTTCTGTTTTTTTAAATTATCTTTTGGAAGGTATACCAGAGGACATAAATAGAACCATCAAGAGATTTAAACAAGTCTTAATGAAACTGAATGAAAAATTGTGCAACAAAAAAAATCATAAGAGTCCTGGCCAAGTTATTTGAGGATGGAAAACTTTAAAATTGTGAACGGTTTGGCAATTATTTAAAATTTAATTTGAAGTGTAATTCTGTGACCACTCATTGATAACCTTCGATTTCTCCTGTAATCAGCCATTCCTTATCCCACAAAATACTCACAAACTAAGATGTCACAATGCTTTACAAAAAAAAATCTGAATGAACAGGGAAAACTGACGTGATCAAAGAGCAAAGGTAAAAGTACATACAATGGATCTATCAATTAATAAGTTTTCACAAACTTCTCTGATACATTTAACGAGTTTTCCTCCAACAGAAAGTTGGAGAAATTTTTATAGATACACTGAATTTTAGTGAATTGTAGTGAAACTGTCCTCAAATTATGACTGAAGGGAATTTTTATATCCACTCCAATCGATAGCTTTTGAAACATGATATTCCACAACTGGCCTTGTATCTGTTCTCAATATTAAATTGAATGCGTCTGTAGCTTGAACAGGAAGTTTCAGTACAAATAGCCCAGTGTCGTATCTCGTTCAGAAAATATGAACTGGTGGTCAAATGTAATACCTCCTGCCTATTATTAGTAATAAGTGATGGTTCGGAGCCCTTGTTAATTACAGGTAGCACTTTCCCATCGCAACGGCTTAGGCAGCGTGAACTTGGGTTCGGACTAACGTTTCAATATTGTGCCGGCTGTTTCAAGAGTGGAAATATAAGGTAAAATTGCAAGGACATCATTCTGTAGAAGTTATTCGAAAACCACTATTTCTGACAATCAGCAGGGTCCTTCTAACATCATTCAACAGTGAAATAGCATGTTAACTGCAGTTGCTATGAGGCCCACTGGAAGCTTCAAAATGTATTTCTGACTCAACCCCAAAACTTTGATGTTATGTGGTTTAAAATAATATCACAGAAGATCACTCAATTCATATGCTGCCTTTATCGACCACCAAGCGATACACCATTGTCTTTCTGCAAATCTATCATCCCAGCGCCGAAATTTTCATATTCGGTGTCTTCAATGTCCACAATATTGAATGACTTAAATTTTCAAATATCAACGACGAACACGGTGGGGATCTGAGGCTTTTGCAATAAGCAGCAGACTTACTCAGATTATAATTGAGCCAACCAGGATTCCTGACCATAATGCAGAATATACCTAACAATATACCAATAACAATATACCTAGATCTATACCTAACAACCAATCCAGAAATTTACACAGACACCGTAAGGTCTGTGTTAGGATCTTCTGATCACAAACTCATTTCAGTGTTGAGTAAATTACCGCGCAAAGTTTGGAATTACAGTTCTGCTGAGTGGGAAAATCTTCAAGACAATTTTCGAAATTTCCCCTGGCTGGATGTTTGTTTCAGCTCTAATGATCCATCAACTTGTGCTTTTGAAGTCATAGAAGCTTTTCTATCATCCATGGATGTATATATTCCTTTTTAAATGAAACGAACTTTTAACGGCAAACCTTGGTTCAACAAAGATTGCGAGCAAGCTGTCTCCTTCCGGCAGTGGCACAAATATTCCAGTACCAAAAACCGAATTAGGTTTGTTAATGCTTGCAACAGCTGCAAACCTATAATAGATGAAATCAAAAAAATTCAATATCAGAGATTAAGGGATAAACTGCTTGCCAATCCCAACGGGTCCAGATCATTTTGGTCGGTAGCTAAAGCTGTTAATCAAAACTTTACATAATACACAATTCCACCACTAACACAAGCGGATAGTTCAATTGCAACAACAACCATTAAAAAAGCAAATCAACTAGCTGAACAATTTACATCCCTCTCCACAGTCGACTTTCTGGGAAAGGCACCACCCACTATTCCCACACTAGAATCCACAATGCCGGAAATTACTTTTCGACAACGTCTAGACAGGCGAATTTTTAAACAGCCCAATATCAACAAACCGTCTTGACCTAATAGTGCCCGTCATCATAATTAAAAAGTGCGACAATGAACATGCACCAGTGTTTTGCAGACTTTTCAACTTATGTTACAAGAAAGGGGCTTTTCCTTCTTGTTGTTTCACATTCAGTCTATTCCCAAAAAGGGCAAGAAAAATCTTCCAAACTCACCTCTACGGTTTATATTTCCAAAACATTCCGTATAGCCGGAAATAACATCGGCTATTGATAAGAAAATAATCAATAATCTTTTCCACTTTCAGTTCCAAATATAAAATGCTATACCTACATATGGCATATTTCGTCGTGAATGTGACGAGTAAGCGATTACAACGGAACATGCCCACCTATCAATTTTTTGAATGAAAAGATAACTATGACGTATCACCATAGTGGGGTCTTATCGAAAAACGGTGAAGTTGCTGAAAGTAATCAGTCTATTCCAATCATCAGCAATTGAAGTAAACCAGTGAAATAAGTGAAATCATTGTAAAATGATATTCAAGTATAACTGTTTTAAGATGTATTCTTAAGTCTTTGAATGCAGCTGTAGTTAGGTGGAGTACCAAGGGGGCCGATAGGTTAGGTGAAGTACCAAGGGGGCCGAGGGGCAGAGTTCCACGCTAAAATCGCTACTATACTCGTTCCATCCTGCGTCGATTTCGATGACGCTGATAGGTTACCCCCACTCCCATTGCGCCAGAACATACGTTGTTACACTACTACCGTTGTATACAGAATGCTGTCTATCGTTTTAGCAAAAAATGTTTTTCATAGTCACCATTTGAAAAAAATTGGTGAAAAAATAAAACTTCACTTAGATGGCCATGACTTTGAATCTAGATGTATTTTTTAATGGTCAAAAACTTTTTTGAATAACATTTTCCAAGATTTTTCAAAATAAGAGTACTTTACTCTTGTCACAAAATCAAATATTTCAAGGTTCCTCGTATATAACGTGTGTTTTACTGTATTTTGTTGATGCATGTTTAGTTTTAGGGGAAGCGTAAACTTTTATTAAGAATAACTTTTTGTCGAAAAACCCTTAATAAATAAGTTTCCCATATGGTGCATACTTTGGAGATGACACTGTATGATCATTCATAAATGTATTGAAAATTATGTAAACATTCTTGCAAACTTTTCAAACGTAAATCTTTGTATTCATATTCTGTTTTTTATACAAAAAAACACACCGTCTAGTTATAATTTTCAAAAATTTTCTGTGTTTAATTTACATAAAATTTCAACATTGAATTTTATTTTTAAAATTGTTACGTTGAGAGTGTGCCTGAACTTCTAATTTCTTCCTGCTTTAAAAATGTTGCCGAACTCACCTTCAAAACTTTGAGGGCCTCTTCACAAACTTGCATACCCCTTGAATCAAACACTTCAACACAACCAAGATATTTGACAGCGAAAGTACATGTTCCAGATTTGACAGCTGCATCATCTGCCTGCCACTGATGTGGCTTGGAGCTTTCGGGAATCCTATCCTTCCGTTTGCGGAATGAATCCCTGAAGGATCTACGAAGCCTGTCCATCTTTCGAGGGGAGCGAAGGCTCCTTCTCTGAAAAGAAACAAAATATGAGAAATATTTTAAATACATTTGTTTTAGATTTGTTTTTGAATGGAGATTTTTTTTTCAATAGAAAATTGTACAATAACATATAATTCATTATAACATTAAAATCAACAGTTCAAAAATAAATTTTCAAAACGCTCAAAGGTACGAACTCGTTTCCTCCTTTCCATAAAAGAGGATGTATGCATCTCCACTCACAAGCGATTTTGGTGAAATTGGTGACACGTGTGAATCATTGTATTCATGCCACGTGCCAGTATAAGGATGTCTGCAGAATGCTGTATAATGTCCGCTGTAGGTAGACCCACTGTGATTCGAAAGTGCATATAGATTATATGTCTGCTGCATAATTGTTCATATCTAATCCATCTAGAGGAAATTCGATGGCAACATTTAACTTGCCTCTAAATATTTCTGCTAGAGAAAATCTTTTGAAATGAATGACTAAAATACGGGGAAACTTATGGATCGATTGAGACTTTGTACATTTTCTTCTTTCTTTGCAACTTGAACACGTCGGTTTTTCGTATCCATCCAAAGTTTCCTTTCTTGTGAAGAAATCCAAGCACTGTGATAAATACAATTGGCCAGTTCTTTGTGGTATAGGGAGTGACAAATCCCAGAAAGGATCGAAGGTTACAGATTAGTGTCCTCAATGTGTGCACTTCATCGTGGATTTTAATTTACCAACTAATATATCTAAAATCTTAGAGTTATATGTACTCAAATAAATTAGCCATGACTCTTATGCTTTTCCGCGAGAAAAGTAACCTAAAGAAAGGGTAGAATTATGATATACCGATATTGCTCCCATAATAAAGGAAAAATTTATTTTTCATTATTTGAGTTATTTCTGGTGGAGTAAAAATGAATCTCAAAGTTGAATGTGACATGGTTTTGAAAATAAGGTGGGCTAGATTATTAAGAATTTTAAATATGAAAGTATACCATTGTCACATATAAAAGTCTTTGTGATACAGAAAACCAATGTAATGAATTCAACATTAATAGAAGTATACTGATTTGTTTTCAACATAATTTTCATTCCTATATTCTGCCATTTCTTTAGTTGCGACAGTTTATTAAGGTTGAAATAGAACTGACAATAATCAGAACGTGGTTGTATTACTGACGTACATCCAGTGATTATTGTTTCCATAGATATATTACCAGAGATTTTTGGAGTATTGACCCATATTTCGTAGTTATAACCATAGTTATAGATCAGATTAGATTGTCGGGGAGCTAGCCCACTGCCTGATTCACTGCGACATTTCCAAATCTATTGTGATGCTCCTTGGTTGTTAGAGCTCATTGTCTAGTTAGATCTCTTTGATGAGACTCCATAGCCTTGACACGGACCCCTTCATATAGCTGGCAGCCTCTGGTTTCTCTTCCCCGCATCTTGCGTGTCTCAGCCTTGCTATCGCTTCGCATTTACAGAGCACACGCAGTGCGGTTTCTTCCTCTTCTCAACAGAACCTGCATTGGGTTTCTTCTGTTAGACCCATGTTGCTCATATGTTTCCTGAGTCGGCTATGCCCCGTTAGTAGACCCACTATTATCCTTACAACCTTACGGTTGTGGTTTAGCAGGTCTTACGTGAATCTGGGCGAAGGTTTCTTTATGAACTCTTTCGTCTGCGTCATTCCTGGGAGCTTATTCCACCAATATATCGATTCGGCTTGGATCCATGAATTTATGGATGCCTTTATACATGCTTTCGCTACCCCGCAGAATTGTTCTGGGCCGATGCGCCTTCACGGGCTAGAACATTGGCCTCCTCGTTGCCTTTTTGACCCTCATGTCCGGGTACTCAAGCTAGAATGACCCTATTTTGGGTGCTTAGCTTCTTGAGTGCGCTCAGACAGCTTCCCACCAGTCTTGAGAAGACTTGAAATGAGCTGAGCGCCTTAATTGCCGTCTGGCTGTCGGAGAAAAAGGCAATGGTTTTATTTGTGACCTGTTTATTTTCCCTGCCTTTCCATAGCATGGAAACTTTCATACGCATAACTAAAGAATATATTCAGAAACACACGAAAAATATAAAACTGAAGTCCAACAAAATAAGAAGAGCGTGGATAATACCAGATATTTTGAAAATGTTAAATGAAAAAAATGAGATATATAATAAATTACAGACGGATCCTGGCAATACTACACTGAAAGAGAGATACAATATTCTCAAGAATAACCCCAGTCGAAAAATCAGAACTTAAAAATAAATTACATGAATGAAATCATTTCCAGAAGTCCCAATACCTCTAGCGGATTATGGAATGCGATTAACGAAATCTGTCCAAAACCAAATTCCATAACAAAAATAGAATCTCTGGAGGTTAATGACACAATCCTTAATTCTAAACATGATATTGCAAATCAATTCAACATATATTATAGTGAACTGGGACAAAAATATGCGTCAAAAATAACGGCACTACCAAATTTTTCGGAAAATATCGACAATCTAGGTAAATAGCATATTCTTGAAACCTGTGAGTGAAGGAAAAGTAATGGACGTGATAAGTAATTTGAAAACAAAAAAATCGCCTGGATGGGATTCTATTAGATCTAAAACGGTAATAGAGCTAAAAAATGTCATTACTGCTCCTCTGGCATTTGTAATAAACACGTGTTTACAGCAAAGTAAATTTCCAAATTGCTTGAAGTTAGGAATCATCAAGCCCTTGTACAAGAATTGAAAAAGGCAAAAATCGAAAATTACCGGCCATTCTCTTTGTTGTCGGTGTTTTCTAAAATATTTGAGAAAATCGTGAAGACACAAATGTTGCATTTTTTGAAAAATTTAGAGTTCTCTCCAACAACCAGTTTGGATTTAGGGAAGGTCGAAGTACAGAGGATGCGATATATGTTTTAACCACTGATATCTAAAAGGCAATGGACAAAAAATTCCATTAATTTGCGATTTTGTAGATCTATCAAAAGCCTTCGATACAGTGTGTCACAAACGGCTTCTCCAAAAACTTCAATCCTATGGAATAAGAGGACCCGCATACCAACTAATGGAAAGTCATCTGTCAGAACGAAAACGAGTTACAGAAATCGATGGAATAGTGATTTCCCAAGGGCAGTTTCTTATGGAGTTCCACAGGGAACGGTTCTTGGACCTCTATTATTCACTCTTTACATAAACAGTCTCATGACATATCGATCTACAGGTAAAATCATCAGTTTTGCTGATGATATGGCAATACTTTATGAGGACAAAACTTGGACAGATGTAAAAAATAAAGCCGAACAAGACTTACATGGTATATGTGACTGGTTCAAATTCAACAGTTTAACAATGAATGATGAAAAATCATACTATTTACCATTCACTTCATATTCCAACTATTTACCAGCATTAGGTCCTTTGGTGGTGAGCAATATAACACACATTCTAGAAAAAGATAGGTCGAAGTACTTAGGAATAATTATAGACAGGCACTTAAGATGGGACCTTCACGTTAATCATGTTAAAAATGAGCTAAGGGGATTGCTTATCAAATTTAGATATCACGCTGACTTTTTGAGTACAGATAACTTGAAAACATTATATCTCGCACTAATATACTTCCAGTTATCATATGAAATATTAGGATGGGGTGGCGTAGCTCCATGTAATCTGCATAATTTAAACGTTATGCAAAAGTGGATTTTGAGGATAATTTACAGGAAAAATATTACTTATTCCAGTGATTTACTATTTCTGGAAAATGGCATTTTTGATATAAGACAAATCTTCACTTATCGGATTCTAATCAATATCTACAGAAACAAAATAAAATTACAAGCAATTGAACATCATCACAACACGAGAACAAAAAGTAGATATATCAATGAAACGACATGTGGAAAAACTATCGGTCAAAGGTCAGTGGAATTTTTAGCTCCAAAAGTTTATAATCTACTTCCTGATGATATAAAAAAGGTTAAATCGTATACATCCTACAAACTCCATGTGGTTGAAGTGTACAGATAAAAAAGTTTTCAACGATCTCATAGACTTAAAACTACTACGCTAACTTACGAGTAACATACATCACATACATCAGACCAAATATTTATTTGTATGAATTATAAGAAAAAAGGAACTGAATTCAACATTTTCATAAAAACTTCCCGAAATTGACATTATTCAACCGAGTTTTTAGTTTTCCCTAATTCTGACATATTTCCCGATAAAAACAAACTTCTCAAAATTGACATCACTAAACCAATCTTGATAATTTCAGCACTCAGGCAGTTATATATTCCGATATTTATTCAGAAACTACTTCAACTGTATTCATTCACTTCATCATAACCGCAATCTTTCAGAAACAATTTTTTAATTTTAAATTGTATTTTTCTATAATTTTAAATTGTATTTTTGTATAGATTTGTAAACTCAATAAATGTCACGCACAAGCTCTATGAGCTTCAGAGACTTCTTATGTTTATTTCTGTGCTTGTTATATGTTCATCTTTCATCTTTTTATACATTTTTTTGAAATAAACATCATTATTATTATTATTTATTTTCATGTATCAATCAATACTTCCTAGTACTTCGTTCTTTTAACAGTGCAACTAAATTTATGATTTCATACTCAAATATGTACACCAAAATGATTTATTTTTTCCCAAAAAAGGCCTCCTTTATCGTAAATTTTCATTTCCGTTCTTCCGTAGTCCAACCAATCATGAACCAAGCGTAAACTTT